ATTAGTGTTCTTCTCTATTGGTGTATAAAGGAGAAATACATTATAATAATATAGCATTTACAATCCTCACTTTGTAGTTAGTGAAAATGAATTCATAGCTGCCTTTTTCTAATCTCAATTCTGTTTTTCTTACATTCCACCAGCATGTTGGTGAATAAGGATCTTCATGTATTTGGTTGATACTCATCTACATTCCTTTAGGATCAGGGTTCTTGGTTGTCTTGTTATTGTTGAGTCAATGTATTCAGCTGGATTACTGAGCACAGAAGTACAAAGAAGCATTCCAATGAATCCTCTAGGTTCCAAATGTAGTCTTCCTTGTTCCAGTGGTATAACATTAACCCAATCTTCCTTATCAGGATCAAGTACTCTCCCAATACAGATGTCCTTCTTTGTTGGTACATGAAGAGCCCCAAATAATCAGAGAATGATGTTGGCTCCATGAAAGATGTGTTTTTAACCTATGCATAGATTTCATTTAGTAATCATACAGAGAATCATAGTAATCATCATGGAAAGGTTGGGATTTGGGGGACATAATACACATAGGAAATATCTATGCAAAATGAAGCCTCCAAACCTGTATAGGGATTCATTGATTTTTTCTCTGGTTGTTCAGGAGTGTATGCAAAAAGATCTTTCAGGCTTTACAGAAAATAGTTACTTGGTGCTGTCAATTGAAAAGAGATTCTGACGTTGGCAAAGCAGTGAACGATTTTAGAGTTCTGACCATACATATTGGAAAGATACCACAGAAAAGACCAGACATTTACTTGAAACTTCAGGCCACACTTTAGGAAGATTAAAAATAATAATAAAAAATAAATCTCTAGAGCACGGTGTCCCAATCTTGGTATTATTGACAATTTAGGTCAGATAAATCTTCATTTTAGTGGACTTTCCTGTGCATTTTAGGTTCTTTAGCAGTATCCTCAGCGTCTACATTTTAAATGTCAATAATATCTCTTCCCTAAGTCACAACAATAAAAAAAAACAAGTTTCCAGACATAGTGAAATATTTATTCGCTGCAAATTGTCTCTGATTGACAACCACTGTCTGAGAGTAAGGGCTATAATGAATTGCCTTATTTAATGGATGAGTTTTACAGCAGATTGGATACTACAGAAGAAAAATATAGTAGTCTTAAATAAGGATATGAAAGAAGAAATCTCAAAATTTAAAAATATCTTGGACTAAATGAAATGAAAACATAAGTTATCAAAATTTATGGGATGCAGTGAAAATAGTGCTCAAAGGGAAAATTATAGTAGTGAATGCATATGAGAAAAGAAGATCTAAAATCAGTAATCCAAGACTCTACCTTATAAAACTAGAAAAAGAACAGCAAATTAAATCCTAAGTGAGCAGTAAAAGAAATAATACAAATTAGAACAGAAGCTAATGAAATTAAAAACAGGAAATCAATAGAGAAAATTAATGAAATAAAGTCGGGGTCTCTGAAAAGAACAATAAAATCAATAAGTTTCTAGCCAGACTAACTAAGGAAAAAAGGGAAGGACACAAGTATTAATATCAGAAATGAAAGAGAAGAGATCACTACAGACACTATAGACATTAAAAGGATAGTAAAAGAATGCTATGAACAACTCTATGCCCACAAATTTGATAACCTAAATGAAATAGACCAATTCCTTGGAAGACACAATATGCTAAAACTCACATAAGAAAAAATAGATGACCTGAATAGGCCTATATCTATTAAAGAAAAATATCTACTAACAAATCCAAGATCACCAATAAACCCAAGTGGGACAAAGAAAACTATGTTGAGCATAACAGGATTAAAATTCTGCAAACAAGAGATAAAGAAATATCTTATAAAAAGCCTGAGGAAAAAAAGGACAAATTATTTAAAGGGAAAAAGCAAAATGAATGACAGCTGACCTATTGGATATAAAGAGGCCAGAAGAAGATAAAAAAATCTTTAAAATGCTTAAGGAAAAATAAATTCAACCAACATTTCTATATTCAATGAAAATATTCTTTAAAAATAATTGTAAAATAAAGATATATTGAGTTAAACAAATGGGGAGAATTTGCCACCAGAAGAAAAGCACTATAAGAAACATTACAAAATATCTTTATGAAGTGAAAACAGTAACACTGCATTTTAAGATTTATAATTTTGTACACTTATTTAAAACATAATAGCATCAAAACAAAAGAGAAAATTTATTATTTATATACTTTGTGTATGTATATTTTTAAAGGTCTCTAATATATATGTGAAATGGTATAACATTAATTCATGGTATATATCAATGAGTTAAGAAAAAAGTTTACTTTAATCTGTAGAGTATCCAGTTAAAATATAAACCAGGAGGTATAGAGTTAAGAAGCCAATAGATATGAAGAAATAAAATGTTAAAATATAGTTACTTGGTCTTTGAGAAAAAACAAAAACAGGAAAAGAAGAAAAATGAAAAAGGACGGCAACTTTGAAAATGAATACTAAAGATCAGATTTTAATGACCTAACAAAATCATTAACTATATTAAATGCAAATTATGTAAAAACAAATGAAAAAGCAGATACTTCAAATGGTATATATATAAAAAAGCAAGATCCAACTATATGTTATTTATAAGGGACACATTTTATTTTATTTTATTTTTAATGTTTTATTTATTTATTCATGAGAGTCAGAGAGAGAGAGAGAGAGAGAGGCAGAGGGAGAAGCAGGGTCCCCGGCTAGCAGGGACACCCATGTGGGACTCGATCCCAGGACCCCAGGATCATGACCTGAGCCGAAGGCAGATGCTTAACCATCTGAGCCACCCAGGTGCCCCTATAAGGGACACATTTTAAATATGTAAAGGTTAAGGACTGAGAAGTAAGTTGGTCAAAGATGATATGTCATGCCAGTGTAAATTATAACAAAAATATGGGATGGCTATATAAATATTGGAAAAAATAGCCTTCAATATAAGCAATATTACAAGAGATGAAGAAGGAAATTTCTTATTAATTTGTCAAGAGGATATAAAAGTTCTGAGGATGCATTTACTTAATAATAGTGTTTCAACATTCATGAAACAAACATTTACAAAATAAAGGAAGAATAGATTTAAATCATTTTGAAAGTTTTAAAACTCCATTCTCAGTAATTGATAGAACAAGTAGAATAAAATATCATAAACATAAAGATTTGAGAAACATTATTGAAAAACTTGACCTTGACATTTATAGATCATTACAACACAGACCTGCAGAATTCACATTCCTTTTCAGGGGCTTATTAAACATTCATCAAGATAGAACATATGCTTTGACATGAAATTTGCCCCACTAGATCTCAAAAGCCTAAAGTCACATTATCTGACCAACAGAATTAAGTTAGAAATCTGTAATAAGTATCAATAATAAATAATAGATATCAAGAAAATTCCCAAATTACTGGAAAATGACAATATGATCTTGTGTATTCAGGAGGAAATCTTCGTGGGCATTACTAAAGAGTTTACATGAATGGAAATGAAAATACAACATATTAAACTTTCTGAAGTACAACTCAAACATAGCTCAGAAAAGAATTTGTGCTTTTAACTGCACATGAAAAACAAAAGTTTTTTAAGAGAATTAAGCATCCATCTTATGAAGCTAAAAAATGGGGAGGATTTAAAATCTAAGTAGAAGGAATGGATATACTACAGATATAAACAATAACAGAAAACAGAAAAAAAAATGCACAGGGAAACCAATGAAATGAAGCATGACTCCTCGAAAATTTATTTTTAAAAACCTAATTCTGATAAAAAAAAGAAAGAAAACACAATTCACCAATGTCAGCAATAAAATAAAAGGAAAATACTACAGATTCTACAAACATTAAAAAAAAGAAACTATTATGAATAACATTATGTCAATTAATATGGGAATTGACATGAATTTGCCAAATTCCTTTTAAGAAACAAGTTACAGAAACTGACAAAAGAAAAAATGAAAAACATGAATAGCCTTCTATATGTATTTTAAAAATGAATTCTTAATTAAAAATCTTTAAACTCCAGGACCACTAAGTCTTACCAGTGTTTTCCACACATATTTAAAGAAGAAATACTATTTATTATCAAATTTTTTAAAGATTTTATTTATTTACTTGATAGAGAGAGAGACAGTGAGAGAGGGAACACACGCAGGGGGAGTAGGAGAGGGAGAAGCAGGCTTCCTGCTGAGCAGGGAGCCTGATGCAAGGCTCAATGTGTGGCTCCATGTGGGGCTCGATCCCAGGACTCTGGGATCATGACCTGAGCCAAAGGCAGATGCTTAACGACTGAGCCACCCAGGCGCCCCTATTACTAAATTGTTTTTTGCCAACATTAGTAGGAATAAAACAACTCCCTACTTGTTTTATGAGACCATCATACCCATAGCACCAGAATCAGATAAATACATTAAAAGAAAGGAGAATTACGCATTTATATTCATATGTTCATATCTTCCATCATCATAAGACTTAAAAGTCACCAACAAAATAGAAATCAAGTGTAATGTGATGAAAAGACACTATGTCATGAAAAATGGGTTTATTCCAAAATGGAATTTTGGTTAAATATTTTTAAAAAAATAATTAGCTAAATATACGATAAATATCATATGATCATCACAATAGATACAAAAGTATTTGGCAAAGTTTGACATTAATTGATACTATCACATTTGAAAGTGTAAGAATGAACAATTTCCCTTAAGTTTGGAACAAGATATACACTGACCACTTTTATGCAATAGATCTAGGTTCCTAACAAATGTAATAAAAAATAAAAGACATAAACAGTGGAAAGGTAGATATAAAAATCTTTTCAGACCTTTAATAAATTTTTGTGTGTATGTATAATTTTAAAGGAATCTATAAAACATGTATAAAATATTTTAGTAACTAAATTTAGCATTGTCAGAATATATGACATAAATATGTAAAAGCAAATTGTGTTTTTATACATTAGCAATTTAAAAATTTGAAAACAATTTTTAAAACTAATTATACTAGCATCAAAAGTACTTTTAAGATAAGGATAAATGCAAAGAACGATACACAAGATTTCTATAATGAAGACAATTAGCAATAATCACGCCTCGGATAAACCTCATTGGCTACGATACTGCCACTGCGCAAAGCTTATGATTTTAATCTTTATAAAGACAGCTCTATTATTAACAGTGTATTATTTGAAAAGCAATGAACAAACTGAAATAAAATTTTACCTAATGGTTGAATCTAAAAAAGTTAAATATAATTCCTGAAAAAAATTGAAGGTAATGGCTTATATGTTGTGTATAGGAGGGTGAACAATTAAATATGTCTACATTTAGTAAGACCAGGAAAACACTAAGGATTCTAATTTTTCAAGTTACCAAATTTTTGATCAAAGAATATGACAAAGAAATATAAGAATGACATTAATAAAAACAAACTAAAAGAAGCAAATATAAAGAAAATAAATTATGAATTAAATAGCTAAAAAGAAAACAACAAGAAAGTCAAATATGTCAAGATTATTTTAACCATGTTCACCAATGGAATTGGATGATAACACTTTTGATTAAGGTGTCCACTGGTCTTAATTTACATGATGCCTTCTTGGGTTATGTCTGTTTTTCTAGTATAATTACTAATAGCATCTTTTTTATTTCCAAAATGTCATATGTTAGATGATAAATTGTATGGTCTCCTCACCTATGAGATATCCCAGTGCTTTGCCAGAGTCAGGATGTGGGACAATTAGATATTGTCACACAGCAATATTAGAATCCAATTCTCTTTCTCCCTCCCTCCACATTTTCCCATCTATCAATGGATTTCTCCAATACAGAGATTATTTATATGTATATCTAATATCTTTATTTAAGTACTTCTCTATCTATATTTATCATTTGCTATTTCCTCTATCTTGTAGCTTAATATTGCAGTATCAGTAACTATATGATGCTCATAAACTAAGCTAATTGCTGGATTTTCCATAGATTATTTCTTTTAATTTTTGTAGGACCATGGATTTTGGTGGTATTTTTAATTAAATGATTAAGAATGGCACTCAGAATGATTTAATCTCTAATGACTGTAAATATCCTAAGCAGAAAAGTAGGTCCCCAGTCTGTTTGAATAGCACCCGTGTCCTCACAAAAGTCTCAGGCAATTTGCCTTTTCTTTGTGTCTAATGAGAAAAAAAAAAAAAAAAAGAAAAAGGGGATGCTTTGGGCGCCTGGGTGGCTCGGTCGGTTGGGTGACTGCCTTAGACTTAGGTCATGATCCAGGATTGAGCCCCACATCAGACTCCCTGCTCAGGTGGGGAGTCTGCTTCTCCCTCTGACCCTCCCCCATCTCATGCTCTCTCTCACTCTCTCTCTCAAATAAATAAATAAAATATTTTTTAAAAAAAGAAAAAGGGGATGCCTTTAAACTCCTCAACAAATAAAGTAGTTCTTAATTATTGTACCCAGCTCTTTGAAAGATATGATACAGAGACTTGGCTGAAATTTCATATATGAACACCAGAAACATAATCAGTGCTTAGCAATTCCTCCATGCTCTATATGGCTGAACAGACACTTTGGTGTAATGCTTGACTAAAGAGTATTTGTCCTTGGAGGCATTAAGCAAGTGTAGGGAGCGTTTTTGATTATCTCAGTGATTGAGGGATACTGGTATTTAATGAGTTGTCAAGGAATGCAGCCTGCACCTGTTCTCACACAAGGAAAATTACTTCTTGTTTCATATGTGCTTTTAATGTCCTACCAGTCAGTCACAAGGATAAACACCATATTTATAATGAACTTCACCTGGAATTTAACTTTCTTTACATATGAATACAATTTCTTCACAGTTTTAAGATACAATAAATTTCCAGGAAATGCAAATCCTAGTAGAGTAGAAAGAAGATTTTAATTTGTTTTGTTCGAGAATTTAGTTACTCTCAATTTTGAGTACTAGACCATTGATAGCAAGTCCTCTTGTGGTATTTGATTTTCCAATAAAGGATATTTGTAGCAATTTATAGTGCATGTATCTGACTATTTTACCATGTCTTCTAATTTTGTCATTCCTGAATATTTACATATTGAAATGCATGTTATTTTATTATAAATGACTTTCCTCTTATTTCTCCTTTATATTATAGTGATAGTATTATTTTGACCTTTTGAAATTATATTTACAGATAGGTTATATTATCTATAAATTTCATTTCAGAGTAATAAAAAAGGCATTAAAATTATTTTTTCAATAAAAAGATATATTGGGTCTGTGAAAACTACTTCCTCAAAGGAGTAGAGGAATCTCTCTGGAAGGATACTGGAGATTTCTGAATCATAAACCCTATAAATTCTGAGGAATTTATACCATAACAAAATTTAACATGGAAATTAACTTGCCACATCATATTCCATTGATAAAGTTGATTATTTTGTTAAAAGGGCTTTGGACACTCTAATTATTGCTGCTCACACCCTTTTTGGTGGATCTCTTTGAAAAGCTGACACATCTCTCAACATTATCTACATCATGACACTGGGCAGCACCATGCATATACCTTCTTCAGGACTGAAAAATTCATCCAAACTTTTGAGAAGATTCTTGTCTGGTAATCATTAGCTATCAGTCCTCTTTAGGAATTGCCAAAACTGGAGATTACTTTTCCTACAGACATGTCTTTTGCTAGGCAGTCTGTTTTCATTGACTTCTAAACACAGGGTATGCAGTCTCAGGTCCCTCGCTCCAAGTCAGGAACACTTTGAAGAGCCACCTCAGTTTTGGCATTCCCTGTAAGGTCCACGGATGGCTTGCATCTGTACCACAAGTCTTACTCTTTGCTCAGTCTTGCCATACTCCCTTCTTCCCGTGAATATTGATTTTATGAACACTAAACTGAATGTCAGCCTTAGCTTTCTGGGGAAGCCAACCTATGACACTCAGACTCTGGTTATACAGGCATGTTTGGGAAAGAATTACAGGTGTATGAATGTTTAGATAAATATGTAGGTAGGTGGAAGAATGGATAGATAGATAATAGATGATAGATGATAGATAGATAGATACATAGATAGATAGATAGATAGATAGATTGATCATCATTGTTAAATTGATCCAAATAGTCATATCATTTAATCACTTCATATTGGAGATGAGAAAACAGTTATGTAGTCTTATGTTACTCTTCCAGAATCCTATGCCAGTAAGTGGCAGAAGTCCAAGGGTCTAAGCCTCCAAACACTCAAACCAGGGCCTTCTGCTACATAGGGCGGTGACATTTAAATCCACAATATTACTTAATTCTTTTTTTACTACTTAATTCAAGTACCTGTACTGTTTCTCAGCTTTCATCACTACTCTGTTTTCTTATTATCCACTATATATGTTCATGTGCAGATCTTTACTTTTTTTAAAGATTTTATTTATTTGTCAGAGAAGAGAGAACACAAGCAGGGGGAGCAGCAGCAGAAGGATAAGCAGGCTCCCTGCCGAGCAAGGAGCCCAATGCGGGACTCGATCCCAGGACCCTGGGACCATGACCTGAGCTGAAGGCAGACGCTTAACCGACTGACTCACCCAGGCATCCCGTGTGCAGATCTTTTTGATAATTGGTTTCATATAAGGTTGAGTCATTTTATAGTGTTGTCATTTTTATTTAACATTAATCATTTATAATTTATTTATAAATATCAATAACAGTAAATATATTATTTTATTAATAATATATAAACATTTAATAATGTATTATTATTTAGAGATTATTTTATCCCTTAAAGGGAGACATACTAAAAATTATGTATGCCTAACCTCACTTTTACCTTTCTTTCCTTAGAGATGATCTACCTCATTGTAAACACACATTATAATTGTGTGTTATATGATATACATTAATGTAATAAAATATATTTCAAAAACTTTTGCAACCATACTATTCCAATTATTTGACTTCAATTTTTCATTTTAACTTCATAGTCTAAAGAAAGTATTAGTTTTCCCTATTCCTAGGCATTTTTGTATGTACTCTTCTTGTTTCATCTCTGTTTTTTAAATTTTTTCCCTTCTGACTTCTTTATTTCTGATGTCATCAAACACGACACTGCTAGAGGGTTGCCCTTTATCTTTTCGTTATCTAAAGGAAATGGAAAGGCAAAAACCATAACTACCAAAAACAACCAAAAACAAAAACAAAAGAAGGGAAGGAAAAAAGGTAAATGAAGGTTATTTTAATGTTCTGTGGTATAAAGAAGCACTTGAATTCGGTCATTATGAAGGTTTTTCAAAATTACCTACTCACTGCAATGCAATATCTGTGTTTTCTCTCTCTCTCTCTTTTTTTTTTTTTTTAGAATCTGTGTTTTCTCTTAACTGCCCATCTTTTATCATGAAGCTTATGCAAATGTATGCATATTTGAGAAGGTATCAGACAGGCCTTTGGTAATGCCTGTTTTCTTCTCTGTATAATTTCCAGTAACATACCTAGCTAGAAAAATAAAGATTAATTATTAAAAATGCAATAATGAGACCCTTCAACATTAGCAAATATTGAGAGAGCAAATTCATGTAATTGATAGACTATCTGGCAAGGGCATGTGCTATACATGGTTTTGGGATTACACAATGGAATATTATTCAACCACAGTAAGGAAGGAAATCCTACTCTTTGCTATAACTTGGAGAAAACTTGAAGGCATTATACTAAGTGAAAAAAGTCAGACAGAAAAAGACAAATACTGTGTGATATCATTAATATGTAGAATCTGAAGAACCAAACCCATAGAAACAGAGAGTAGAGAGAGGATTACCAGAAGCCAAGGGATGGGGGAAATGGGGAGACATTGGTGAAAGAGTACAAACTACCAGTTACAAGATAAGTAAGTTCTAAGGATCTAATACATAGCATGGTGATTATAACTAATAATACTATATTATATACTTGAAAGCTGCTAAGTGAGTAGATCTTAAGTATTCTCACCACAATAAAGAAATGATAATTATGTGAGGGGATAGAGATGTTAACTAATACTGGTGTGGTAATTATTTTGCCATATATGTGTATCAAATCAATATTGTTTACTTTAAACTTACACAATGTTATATGTCAATTATATCTTAATAAACCTGGAAAGAATGTGATTAGAAGATAAGCATGGG